TCACTGTCTCCAGTCATTGGCAGCTGGAAGTCAAAATCCCTATGACATGTTCTGCCTATGAGGCTACGTCACCTCACTCTACCAGCCTTCAATCCTGCCTGTACTATCACATGCTTTAGTGCCATCTGTTCCTCCAACATACAAAGCAACAGGATGGGGAAGAAATCTTTAAATAGAACCTTCTTACATTCAAAATTAAATAACATTCTTGCGGGAAAAAACACACCCTGTAAGCGTGAAATAGTCCCAAACTTGAGAAAACATCATTTTCCCTTCATAAACCAAAGCCAGTCATGTAAGATGTTTAGGCAAGGGTCATGTGTCAGACTGCTCTTTAGAAGTACAGGAAAATATAGAAGGAAGACTGCACCTGTGTGCGAGTGTTCATAAGACAATTCTTTATAACCGACACTATCACATTCAGCTCACACCTTTCCAAACTGTCACATGGAAAAAACAACACACAGAACCTTATCTTGTAACTATTAGTCTTTCTGGAGGGGTAGAAAAACCTGTCATGTATACCTGAGACACTATAAATTCTTCTCTCTGTGCCACAAGAAGGTACTCTGCATTCTACCCCCAAATACATACAAAATGCAAACACAGAAATTGTATCATTCCAGGGACCCAAAAGCTGTTCTTCCAGTGAGTACACTAATAATTACAGATGGGATGATAAGTGCCAAGACAGTATTCTGTTCCACAGCCCACTCAATTCAATAATCTCTTTATAACACTTAGTGTCAATTCGACAAACATTCCCTGAGTGCCTAAGGCATGCCAGGCTCCACGCCATGGTCAGAGGTGGCTACCCTTGAGGAGCTTTACACCAAAGAGAAATTATCCACGGAAGAAACACTGCCAATCAAAATACATGACTCTACTGCATTACCCCTTCTCCCAAATGTGGCAGAGAGCATGCCACATGTTGCTGTCTCACTTTCATTTATCAGAAAGTCATCTGAGACCACACAATTTCATTTCCATTTCTTTGCTTAGTTCACTTGGTAGTTTGTATCCCTTTCTTACCAGTTTCCATCAGTCCTTAATAATTTCAAGTCATATGTAATTTTACCAAAAAATGGTTACCATTGGTGCCATGTACAAATAACTGTAAGCTGCAGAGTGCAGAGGACAAAACACCTGTTTAATCCTGTTCACCCTTGTGATTTCCCTCATTTACTCTGTTAGGCGCTAGAAATAGAATAAACAAAACCAAACAGACTACTGCTCCCACTGAGCTTATATTGAGATAGACCTTAATCAAATAATCATTAATTAGTAAATAATCAAATAATCCCACAGCAATGGTGAAACAGGACCTGTGCCCCTGCTATGAGCAGCAGCACAAGGTACTCAAGGTTTCCAGCAGGTTCTGACTTGGGCTTGAGTGCAGGAAGGTTTCCCCGAGGAAAGTAAGATGTGAGGCTGAGGTGGGACTGAAGGATGAATAGGAAAGAGAGGGAACAGCAGCAATTGTAGCACAACAGTAATATCAGTGGCTGTACAGTTCCACAAGAAGCTGCAAAACGTTAATTTGGGGGCATTTTCTGTTTCCAAACTTATCCTTGGCTTTCATTCTCAAAAAGACAGTAAACCAAAGAGATGGCACTACATGGATGTTATTTTATCTTTTCAATCAGCAAGGTCTCCCCAGAATTCCAATCAAAAGAAACAGAGAGTTAGGAACAATTTAAATCCCTTTAATATCAATACTGTGCCTGGGGCTCCAGGTCATATCCGGGGGTAGATGGTCCAGTCGGGAGTTTGGGCTGGCACCAGCTCCCTCTCTAGTAAACTGAAAGGTTTAGAAAAATCCTGGAGAAAATTCAGGAGTCTAGTCTTCTGTAAATAGCTAAAGGCTACACTACACTATACATGGGCATCAGATGATCAAACTGAGCCAGACTTTTCAAAGTTTGGAGGATACAGGGCTGTTTCAAATTCATTTCCTTCAACCAGCTGGTTACAGTACTGCCACTCCCAAATGAGTCCTTAACAACACCTGCAGGGCTTCTATGGAACCAGACCAGCTGGAAATATGCAACCTTCAAACAAAATAAGACAATAGATTTCTATTTAACACTTTCTGCCTCATCTAAATTTCAATGTGGCTAAGACCCCAACTGTGGCTTCTACAAGGTTAATAGCACTAAAGGCGGTGGGAAATGCCATGGTGAGGAACTGACCTGTGTTCACATCTGGTTCCATCACTGACTGGATGTATCAAGTGGGTAAGTTACTTAAATTCTTAAAATCTCGATGAAAAAGGGAGAAATCTGACTCACTGAACATTTGTGGACTTGAGGCTACTCACAGGAACAACTTCCTACTTTAGGAGAAACCCCCACTGTGTGCCAGAGGTTGGGGGATGAATAGGACATAGGCTGGGCCCTGTCCTGTAGGCTAGGAGCAAACCCGTGCGACCTAAGCTTGGCCCCGTGATGCTCCCAAGAGAGTGACATGAAGACGCAGTCAGTGACAGAGCATCCCTGTTGTAATAGTGGCGGCAGCTGCTGTCATGACCACATCTTTCCCATGGAAGCAGCTTGGCATTTTCCTCTGCTGTCAGCCTTCCTTAGTTGGAACTCGTCTTCCTCCTGTGATTCTCAAACTGCCTCCCCATCCACCTCATGAGCTACCTAATAACCTTCCAATACATGCCTTAAGTTACTGAGAGTCAGTTTCCTTCTTTTTCTTTGTAGTCAAGAATCCTGGCTACTACAAATGACATTATGGGAGATGGTGGAGAGGAAACAAAGATGAAGCACTTAGCATAACACCTGATATGTAAGTGGCATATTTGTGGTAACTGGGTAGTAACGCTAGACGCCGATGCTCTGAAAGTCTTGTGAGTTTGAGATCTGCATATACTGCTGTCCGAGTTTGAGACAAACAATAAAGTAGGTGAAGCCAGAGCTTTACTTCAGTAACAACGATGAAGAAGATCCTGGTAACTACCAATGTCCAAGCCGCTAAACAGCAAACACTCATCAATAAAACATTCCTATTCCTGTACCTTAAACACCTACCCACCACTCTCACCCACCCCAACCCCTGCCAGCCAACTCTGCTCATCTGTTCCCACCACTACTTGCTCCCCAAGTCTCTGGAGAAAACATTCAACAGAACTCAAATTAATTAATTTAAAAGTAAGGTGACTTCTCCAGATGAAAGCTTTTTTCACTTCTTACCTAATTAAAATTATTATTTTAAATAGTCAAGATGTGGAAGCAATCTAAGTGTCCATCAATTAAGAAATAGATAAAGAAGATGTGGTGCATATATACACTGGAATATTATTCAGCAATAAAAAAGAATGAAATCTTGCCATCTGTAACACTATGGATGAACCTAAAGGGTGTTATGCTAAGAGAAATAAGTCAGACAGAGAAAGACAAATGTCACATGGTTTCACATATATGTAGAATCTAAAAACCAAAATAAGCAAACAATACAGAAACAAACTCATGGATAAAGAGAACAAATTGATGGCTGCCAGATGGGAGGGGACTGGGGAATGGGTGAAAAAGGGGAAGGGACTAAGATGAACAAATTGTCATATATAAAAAGTCAAGAGGATGTAAAGTACAACATATGGAATAGAGTCAATAATATTGTGATAACTATGTGATCCCTTCCTAAGTTATAGAAATGTCTAGTCACTAAGTTATACACCTGAAACTAATATACAGGGCGGGGCAAAAGTAGGTTTACAGTTGTTCCTATGAAAAATAATACAATAATTAATAAATAATACAAGAATAAGCTCTGTTTTTCACAAGTGTAACCTACTTTTGCCCCACATATTGAATGTCAACTATAATTGAAAAATAAGAAAAATTAAGAAATTATTCTGATCAACAAAATGGTTTGCAAGGGATCTAGAGGCCAAGTATGTGGTAGAAAATTATAGCATTCCCTTAAAAATATTACCTCTTAGATATTAAAAAAATCCAATACACATTTTTATGTAGGAGAAACCAGAATGTGGAAACAGAGAATCTAAGAAGAATCGCATGAAGAAGGGACCAGAGCGAGGCAGTGCAATTCTCCAATTCTCTGGGGACTGAACTATCTGAGAAGACAGATCTCTAGCAGAAGGAAAAAGCCTCTTCACAAAGAAAAGCAGAAACAAAGGCCTGATGAAAGCTAACGTTACAGTGATCCTGAGATCACAACTGGGGCTGATTAGGTGAAGGCTGACAATGCAAATTAAACCCTAATATCTCTGAGAGGATGCTGCAGACACAAGTCATTGATACCTGGCAGCTCCAATGAGCCCTGCAGACAGGAAAGTGCAAGTGTGAGGTATAAGAGTAATTGGTTAGCAGCATCTTTCATGTCTCCTGTCATAATATGTTATAAACAACTGTAGAAGGTACCAGATACTTTAGAAACAAATAATTACTTCCATGTACTTTAGAAGACCCCTGAAGGATTTCATGGAACTAGGGGCAACTTCCTTCTATTCCCTCTTATGGAGCATTTTTATTATGTAACAAGTGTTACATACAAAATAATACATATGTTTATGCAAGATACTAAACATAAAAAAATAAACACCCTGCCCTAGCCAGTTTGGCTCAGTGGATAGAGCATCAGCCTGTGGACTGAAGGGTCCCAAGTTCAATTCTGGTCAAGGGCACATGCCCAGGTTGCAGGCTCAATGCCCAGTAGGGGGCGTGATCTCACTCATTTATGGAATATAATGAACAACATAAACTGATGAACAAAAACAGATCCAGAGACAGAGAAGCATTGATCAGACTGTCACACCTCAGAGGGGAACTAAGAGAGGGTGAGGGTAAGGGGGAGAGATCAACCAAAGGACGTGTATACATGCATATAAGCCAAACCAATGGACACAGACAACAGGGGGGTGAGGGCATGAGTGGGGTGGTGGGGGGATAAGGACACATATGTAATACCTTAGTCAATAAAGTAAAAAAAAAAGGCAGCCAATCACTGATTCTCATCATTGATGTTTCTATCTCCCCCTCCCTTCTGCTCTGAAATCAATAAAAATAAAAATAAAATATATTAAAAAAACAGTCACCCTTCAAACCGCCAATACTTGAAGTAGAATATAACCATCATCATTAAAATTTCCTGGGGTCCATCCCACCTGTTTTGCTCCTCCTCTGTACACTCTGGAAAAACAATTTCCCATTATCTTATAAAGTTGAATTTGTCTTCCTTATGAGCTGGCAGTTCTTCCCCCAGGACTATGCTCTAGAAAAACTTACACATATGCTTCCAGAGATGAGTTTAAAAATGTCAGTGTTTGTAACAGGAAATAGTTCAAATAGTCAAATTAATTCTGCTAACTTCAGACAACACATAGCATATTGTCCCATGGAAAGGCAAGCTTTGCAATAGGAGGAGAGGATAATGAACATTCCTGCGTGGACCCTGCTGGGCTGCCCAGGTGCCCCTTCAGCAAGGAGGGGCACACCCAGCCTCACCTGTCAGCCCCCTCTGCACTGCCCTGAGCCGAGGAAAGCTGCCTGGCCCAAGTTCACTGTTCCAAGGGAGGGATTATCTGCACCTGATGATGAGTCAATGGCTGCCTGGCTCCTCCACTCACAGCAGGACAGCTCTGAAGAGCCACCTCTGGTTCAGAGCTCCACTAAGGTCAGCTGAGGTCTCTGTAGATACTGCATCACTGTCCAACTTCTTTTCCTCTCTCCTCCACTGTTCTCCACCCCACCCTCCCTGTTATCATCTGGAGACTAACCCCTAAAGAACTTCCTATAAATTAATCTTTGACACAGAGTAAGCTGCTCAGGAAACGTAACATATGCCAGAAACTTCATTATTACTTCACTTAATTCTTTAATCTTTATGACAAACACTATTTATTAGGTAGATAGTATTCATCTCATTTTACAGCTGTGTTTCAGAGAAGTTGGCTATATTGCCTAAAGTTGTTCAGCTAAAATAAGGACTTGAATTTAGTGCTGAATCTACCAGGATCCTAAAAGCTGTGCTCTTTCTATTACTTTGTGTGACCTACAGTGGGGCCTTGACTTACGAGTGTTCCGACTAACGAGTTTTTTGAGATACGAGCCGTCTCTCGGCCGATTTTTTGCTTTGAGTTGCAAGCTAAAATTCGGGTTACGAGCCAGCTTCAGATACCCCACCGCTAGTTGGCGCAGCGAACATCACAGTGAACGCCACATCATCAGCCCAGCATCACGAGTCTCACTCGTTCACTTTTTGATTTGACATATGAGTAATTTGAGTTACGAGCTCCGTCACGGAACGAATTATACTCATAAGTCAAGGCCCCACTGTATTTTACTAAGCAGCACTTTGCTTTGCTTATGTTAGTATACATTCCTAGGAGCAAAGTGAAGTGCATTTCTTTTAAAACATCACTTACCTCAGGTACTGATAATTTCCCCCCAGAATAATCAAGGTTTTACTGCATTAGGATAACATAGTATCACAATCACTCCTTATAAGTTTAAATAAGACTAAATATTTAAGTATATTGAGCTAGTTCTAAGAAACCTGGCTCTACCATTTTTGCTCATTCTGACGAAGATAAGGGAGACACAAATCATACTATCATTAATTTTGGGGACAAGTTTAGGGCAGTACTATCCAATAGAAATATAATGAAAGTCACGTATATAATTTAAAATTACAATGAGTAAAAAGAAAACAGGTGAAATTAACCTAAATAAGCCTGATATATCTAAAACATTATCATTTCAACATGTAATCAATATAAAAATTTGTAGGATATTTTGTATCCCTTTTTCAACACTAAGTCTTCGACATCTGGTATGTGTCTTACCTCACAGAGCATTTCAGTTTGGACTAGCCATGTATCACGTGCTCAACAGCCATTCGGGTCCAGTGGCTACAGTGCTGGATGACAGGCAGCATGGGCAGAGTGATAAACAAAGAGCTGCTTACAAGATTTGAGCATGTCCAGTATTTCTACTATCCACTACCTTTCTAGCCAACAATAAAAGTTCTTGACAAGAGATAGGACTCATCATAAAAATGTTTTCTCAAATATGAAGCCTGTCTCCTTGATAATCTATTTAACAAGAGTGGCTTACAGAGCACTCTGAAAAAATATTTCTTTTACTTATAGTAACTGAGGTCCACGACGTACTAAAACATCACTTCTTTGCTATTAGATTTAGACTGGAAACATTCTGTTGTCTTAGAGTATTCCTATATTTTTAAAATGCCTTAAATTGAGTTCCAAGAAAGGAACAAGCTACCCCCCTCTCTTCCTTTATCTTAAAATCTCCAGGTCTTAAGCTCTGTCTCTGATAACCTGAATAACCTCCAGCAAAAGTCCCATTTTTTAAGGGGTCCTACCTTCCTCATCTTTCAAGTATAAGTGTCAGATGAGATAATCTCTACAGTTTCTTCTAGAATTAATACTTTAAAAAAAAATGTCAAACAAATTGTCTTCTGAAAAGCAACCAAAAATTCATTTCTTTGCTGCATTGCTTTTTCCTGGCTTGTAAAGGGGGAAAGCATGTGAAGACCCAAGGAGAAACCTCACTAAAGCAGGCTCATCAGGAAACGGATGAAAAGGTGACCTGGTGTGACACAGACACCCTTTTGTCAACCCAAGTCCCTCTTCTTCTCCTTGGCACAGGGTTGTTGCTGGGGATATCCCAGACTGCTTCTCAGGCCCACTTGCAGCTGGACGCCTAACCAGCGGAAGGTGAGCAAAAGGGACGTGTGCCTCTTAGAGAACCGGGGTCCCTTCGCTCTTTCCCCTGTTACAAACCAGATACAGAAAAATGATGTCCCTGGGATGATGAAGCCAAAGTGGAAGAGGCTGCTCTATTTCTGCACAAAAGGAAGCAACCGCTCACCAGAACATCTGCCTTGGACAACTGGATAAGCAACAAACAAACTGTGTTTGAGCCATTATACAATTTGGGATCATTTACTATAGCAATTTAGCTACCCAAATCGATACACCCATTTACAATTAAGCAAGAAGGCCCAACATTTTGGTTCTTCAGATTGCTTCCATGGTGACAATTAATTATATGTGGTAAAAATTGAAGCTGTAAACATTTAGTGAGTTGACTAATCTCCTAGTCACTTGGTCAATTACTCTATATGAAGAGTGTTTCCTCAGAAAATTTTTAGCCGAAACTGGTTTGGCTCAGTGGATAGAGCGTCGGCCTGCGGACTGAGGGGTCCCAGGTTCGATTCCGGTCAAGGGCATGTACCTGGGTTGCGGGCACATCCCCAGTGGGAGATGTGCAGGAGGCGGCTGATCGATGTTTCTCTCCCATCGATGTTTCAGACTCTCTGTCTCTCTCCCTTCCTCTCTGTAAAAAATCAATAAAATATATTAAAAAAAAAAAAGAAAATTTTTGCTGGGATGTTTATAATTCCTGGAAAAGATTTCAGGCAGTGGAAGGACTACAGGGCAATGTATAATAAGAAAAAAATAAAAGGAATTGAAATGGTATGAAAGATAAGTTAGTCATAAGAATCTTTTGGATAGACATACAGAGATACAGAATGGGTGTGTGGTAAGATGGAACAAGGCAATATGTGAAGCTTTTAATTATTTCCATTATTTAAACCAAAGTTCATTACAGTTCTTCCCAGTATTATACATTGCACATATTGCAACGAGGCCTTAAAAAAGAAAAATCAAGCTATTGCTTCTGCTCTTATTTCTTCCTTTCTTTAGTAGGCCCATTGGAAATAGTTACCTTTTTGAACTTATTCCCAAATACAAAATTTTCACTATAGGCAGTTAATCAACAGTAAAATGTTTGAAAACTTTTGACAGTGTGAGGCTTTTTCATTTGCAAAGGCATTTGATAGAATTTTTCTTTAGTCAAACCCTGCATCGTTTTTCAAGGGCAAGAATTATTTGAGAACAGGATAGCTCAATGAACCAGAAGGATTCACTTTAACTTCACTGAGTATGTTATAATATCTAAAATTGACAATCATCTTTTGGGGCTCTAATATTAATATTAAACATAAGTATATTTTAAAAATAGATTTTTGAGGGAGACAGAGAGACAGAGATCAATTGAGAGAGAAACATTGATGGGTTGCCCCCCTCCCCCCCAACCGAGCCACACCAGCCAGGGCAACATAATGTACCTTTCAAAAACAAGAATGCGATAGTAATGCAGCAACTCTTCCTGTTTCCCTTTGAAAACAGATTTCTTAATTTAATCATTTAATTAGATATAATTTAAAAGGTACATAAAGTCCATTAATTTATTATATAGGCTGTTAAAGCATGACTACTTTGGCACTTTGGTGGCTCTTAATGGAGCAGGCCTGCACCTTTCTTCCCCCCTGTTCTCCACCCCCCACCCCCGGGCCCATTTTCCTTGCCTCTCTGTCCTAAGCTCCAAAGGCCCTTCTTTGCCTCTATAACGTGTTTACTGAGCCCATTTCTTCTTGTTGACGTCCTCTACCTCTGTGATTTTCTAAATAAACTTTATCTTATAGTCTGAGTCTTGGCTCTGAAGTCTTTCTTGTCAAAACTCAAGTACTAAGGTCTGGCCTGACTCTGCCGGTCTAACACCTAGTGTTGTTTCACTCAAATGTACTGATAAATATTTCAGTATATATTTCTAAAAGATACCAGGGCAGGCATCTGGCCTTCCTCTGGCTTCCTTATCTTTCTGCCTCTTCTCAAGCCAGTTGGTTACCAACCCTGTTGACTCCAGGTCCATACCCTCTCAGGATTCTTTAATGATCACTTCTCCTGGCACTGCCTTATTTTCTCTCTCATCTAGGCCATGAAAACAGTGGATAAAGCCCTACCTATCTGCAGATTCAACCAACACTATCTGCAGATTCAACCAACACCTTCCTCAGAATGGTCACATGCCCCTAGACAGACCCCAGGGAAATGGAGGGGAGGAGTAACTCCTAACTGGTCACATGTAATCATGATGGCAGAGTTCCCTGGGCCACTGATGGTTTAGGCATGGAGCTGTCACACTGTCTGACCAATGAGATCTTTGTGGAAGCATGGTACAGGCTTCTAATAGTGATTTCTTTCAACGATAAAAGGACATGTAAAATAAAAAAATGTATGAATACTTTATAGGTTCTCATGAATAATCAAAAGAGAATATATATTTATATTAATAACTAGAGGCCCCGTACACGAAATTCGTGCACTGGGGGTAGGGGGGGGGGGTCCCTCAGCCCAGCCTTCCCCCTCTCACAGTCCGGGAGCCCTCAGGGGATGTCCTATTGATGGCTTAGGCCTGCTCCCTGGCTGCAGTCTGGTCGCGGAGATTCGGAGCAGGTGCTCCGTGTGTGTGTGTGTGTGTGTGTGTGTGTGTGTGTGTGTGTGTGTCTCTCTGCTGGGAGTCTGCCCCTAGCCACTCCGCGGAGGCTCAAAGCAGGTGCCGTGTGTGTGTGTGTGTGTGTGTGTGTGTGTGTGTGTGTGTGTATGTGTGTCTGCTGGGAGTCTGCCCCCAGCTGCACCGTGGAGGCTCGGAGCATGCGTCCCGTGTGTGTGTGTCCCCACTGGGGGCCTGCCCCCAGCCTTGCTGTGGAGGCACGGAGCAGGCGTCCCTCTGTGTTGATCTCTGAGACTCCGGGGTGAACCTGGGTGTTGTTCTCTCAGGCTCAGGGCCTCGCCCAGCACCTTCTCCTGAGCTGGTCATTACCATTACAGAGTCCTGACCTCATTTACATATTACTTCATATATATATATATATATATATATATATATATGTATATGTATATGTATATGAAATATGATATACTTTCTATAGTATTATTGTTTCTTTGGATCAAGTTTTTAAAGATATAAAACATCATTTAAACAGTGTAAACATTGCTTAGAGGATACTACACCCCAACCCTGTCATCTTCAACCTTTCTGCTACATTTCTAATAACGTGAAAACCATGTTTGAGAAAATCAACCATTTGCTTTGGGAGCTAAGAATAAGGAGAAGCACAACTTGGTCATTTAGCAGGTCTCCTGTAGGCCTGCAGGATGGAATGAATAACAGCTTCTAGGCAGCTATAGGGGGCTATAATTTTATCATTAAACATAGTTACCTGTTTATAAATTATCTGAACTCTGGGGAATAAAGACTTAAAGAAACTTCATTTTATATAAGAATATTTAAAGGTTCATTTCCCCAACAACAAAAACAAACCATCAGGCCAGATACATAAAATGATGCAGAAAAGACAGTTTTCACTTGAAGAAAATGATGCCAAAGGTTAAACAATTTTCCCAAGACACCAAAAACAAGGGCAAAACAGGAACAGAAGCCAAGCTCTAGACCTTCTGACTTCAAAACCAGTGGATTTCACAACCTAACTTTTCTTCCTTTCCTTCTACCTAGTACTAAAGAAAGAGTAGAATAGAAAGGGTGCTGGACTGAGATTCAAAACACCTGAGTGAAGTTGAAGCAAAGCCACCCGCCCACTACACAACCTCGGAAGAGTCCCTTCATGTCTCCAGGCCTCAGTTTACTCGTTGGTAGAGGAAGTGTGATCACTGAGGTCCTTACAGATTTAAAGATCTATAATTTTATAAAATAATGTTTATACTATTTAAATACTATACCTAAAAGGATTCTTTCAGTCACAGGAAATGATATATATTCTGAGTTGGTATAAATAATTTTCAATGACAAAATAGTTTCATTTAGCTTGCTACAATTTTTAAATTTGTATATAGGAACTTATTTTAACAAGTCCCTGTGTGAAGACTGCACAACTTAAAACCCAGCATATAGCAAGAACCTCTCATACAGGAAAAAGCAGAATCATACTGATTATCAATAGAGTATAGTTGATCACTTATAGTACAGTCAAGTTAAACCAAATGTATGTGTGCTAATGATATTTAAATTAAGTCCTTCACTGTAGAAAGGAAAACAAAGTGGCGTCCTAATGGACACAACAAATAAATTGCAAGATGTTTAAAAGAATATACACATATATCTGTCAAGGTGAATTTTCTTCAAATGCACCGAGTTTATTTGGTGTTTGTTTTTAAGTGATATTTTCTTTTAAAATGCAATTATTTACCCACTGCAAGTGCTTTACAACAGTATAGCCATCAGCTTTCCCAACGGTGTAAAAACTTACTTATAAAGTAGAAACTTATGGATAATATTTCATCTCAATCTTTTTCAATCTGACAAAAAAAATCATGAAAATGTCTTTGGTGTGAAATACTATGCTCACAGGACCATTTACAACTCTTGGCAAAAAATTATGTGCAAGAACTACAAATAAAAGCCCCAAACAAAATTCTTTAAGACCCATTAGTTTTAACACTTTACTTGTCAAGGTAGGATGTTCCCCAGAACCGTGGGGTGATTTTAGGTTCTCTGCGTGAGTGATTTTTACCGATGTCAGGCACTACACTGATAACTCACCCAACTGAAATGACCAATTTGAAACCAATTGTTCTTTCTCCGGGTTAAGATCATCTTGAAATAGATGAAACAGTTTGTAACTCTGTGTCTCAGGTCTACATTCTCCACAATAACGTCAAAACAGGACCTGCTCAGTTAAGTAAGTTATACTGGGGCAACAGAGTACAGAGGGGAGGGAAGATGTGCCTTTACTTCAGGGGAAAACCTTGGTACTAAGCTTCAGTTTTCAATTCTATAAAGTAGGGGCACGTGACGTGTGTGAGTGTATGTATATAACCTACTTACAGGTTGTTCTCGGGGCTGCAAGATGGAAGTCACTCAGCGTGTCAGATTACTTGTAAAACACATACACGTAAGTGGCACTCTTCACAAGAGGCCTTCCTTCATTGTTCCCTGCGCTACTTGCAAGGGCCATTTTCATGCTCTCCTAAAATGTCTTCCTCTCTCTCTTCTGATGCTGTCTTGATTTTTGTGTTTTTGTGAGGACCAGAATGGTGAGAAATCCTAGTGGGAGAAACTCTTCGTATTGGCCAGTGTCAAGAACTGGATGAAGTGGCCTTTCGTTTTTGCTGCGAGGACTGCACTAAAGAGAAGGCCATGTCACCAGCAGGGCCTGAGCTTTCTCTCTGTTCTTTGGGTGTGAGGGGCAGGACGTCTGTTCTCCTTGATGAATTTCTAGTCTAGGAACCACAGCAGAGATCTCTCTTATTTGTGTCCTGTGCTTGAGTAAGAGAGGGAAGCTCCCCGCCCAGCTCAGGATGGGCTTACCCAGAGGTATAGTGAGTTCCTGTCCCCTCCAAGGCACCCGAGGGTGTTTAAACTGACTTTCAGGAGGTTGAAAGCAACTTTGCTTTTTTTCAATTCTTCATTATCATGAGACTATT